AGACCTTGGCTTGCTTGGATAATACATTTTACGCTTGCCAGGGCATTTATCGAATGGAGCACAGTTCCTCAGTTGAAGTCTAAGAACCACTCAAGGTATATACGACTGCCGCACAAGCGACACTGCCTCTTTCCAAGAAGGTGATCGAAATAATGTTGGGGGTCCCTACCAGCCAGGGCAAACAGCGAGGCATTCTGTATTACAAGCACTGAATCAGTGATTGAATGTTGCTCGCTGGAACTAAAGCCACTCAATGTGTTTACGCTTACCTTGCAAGTAGCGTCAAATGCATCAGTGCATGAGGCCGGTGCCTCGAGCGGCCTTTGGAAGCAAATATCGACGCATCCCTGAATTCAGCGCTCCTTGAAAACGAATGGCGTTAGAGCACCCGCTCGTGACACGTGTCTTCCGCTTTTCCACGACAATGGCAAGCGGTTCTTGAAAGCGTAATTTTGTAAAGATAACTTAGTTGGACTGCAGGTTACGTTCATCGACGCAGAAACAGTATAATAAAAAAACTTAAATAAACTCTTATCTTTGTCCATGTAAAATCCCTGCGTCCTTGGACATAGCAGAAAAAGTAGCTCCTGTCGAAACTTATCACGTATCTACATATCAATGGAAATCAGCCAGGCACGTAGCCCCCCGGTGGGGGGGGGGGGGGGGGGGGTTCATGGGCCTCGCTCTTTCCCGAAATCTTCCATTTTGCTGGGACCTCCTCTCCCGCCCTAGGCATCCACCCGCAGGGCGCAGCATTCCCCCTTCCGAGATCGCGACCGGCGAGGCCCTTCCCCGCGTCCTCGGTCGCAACGGGATGGAGGTGGCTCATAAGCCCGTGTCAACAATCGGTCATCGCCTCCCCTTCCCGAAGGATTGGCCCCCCAAAGAAAGGGCCCAAGGCTTGGTCTACCGCATACCATATAAAGATGCCCGGCCTCATACGTTGGCGAAAGAAGGCACTTCGCAGAGAGGCTTACGCGACACAAATATGATGTCCAGAAGAAAGATATGGAGGCAAGCGCCCTCACGGAGTACGCAGAAGCAGCCGGCCAAACAGTCGACTTCGAGGAAGGCACCGTGCTGGCCTTGGAGAGGAATTGGCGAAAGCGGCTCTTCCTTGGGTCTTGGTTCATCCAACACACAAAGGGGAACGCGAATTGTTCTTCGGGCTCCCTGCCCAGCAGCTACGTCTCGGGACTGCGTGACGTGAGCAAAGCTCCCAGATCCGTATGACGCGTGTCTTTTTCGTCACTCACCCGTGAACAAGGGACCGAACTGGTCCCGAAAAGTTAGGTAAATGTTTATTAAATTTGTGCTTAGAGCTCCTATTTTTCGCTTCGTGTCTATTTCTAACCAGGCAGAGGGCTGCCGAACGTTTACCTTCAGGTCTACACACTTATTTGCAGAAATGAAAATGCAGAACTCAACATTGAACGTGATTAATCACGCATACATAGTTCACGCAACAAAGACAAATACACGAAACAATACAGCCGCGTAAAATTGTAAGAGTAAAGTAGACGTACACAGGGTGTTTCACGAAAAGTGGACAAGTTCGATATTTCGAAAACTACGCGTCACAAAAAAAAAGGCCTGTGTCTTTTTGGTCTAGGGCCAGGGGCCTATTTAGAAAAATTATTAGAGTCCGGTATAATTAGATTGTTAATTATTTTCGCGTGCTTAACTTGTTTTAACATCGTGTTTAAGGGCTTGGTTTCAGCTGGAGATTTGCTGAGCATCACTGAAAAACACTAAATCAATAAATTGCAGAACGATAAAAGGCACACGCAGAATTCAATGACTTTTTGAAAAACCGCACGATTTCGACGGGTTTTTAAGTTTCGGTTTGCACTCGGAGCGCTTCTCGGTACCAACGGCACCGCACTCCGTGGAGAAATAGTGCAACCAACCTCTGCTGCGCTACAGTGGCACTGTGGCTGCGCTGCGCGAGGACAGTTCAGCACAGGTTGGTTGCACTATTCCTCTATGGAGGGCGGTGCAGTCGGTGCCGAGAAGCGCTCCGATCGCAAACCGAAACTTAAAAACCCGTCGAAATCGTGCGGTTTTCAGAAAGCCGTAAAATGCTGTGCGTGCCGTCCATTGTTCTGCAATTTGTTGATTTAGTGTTTTTTGATGAATTGATGCTCATCACGATCTAACTGAAGCCATGCCCGTAAACTCAATATTTAAAAAAATTAATTGCGCGAAAGTATTTAACAACTTAATTATCCCGAACTTTAATAATTTTTCTAAGTAAGCCCCTGGCCTTGGACGAAAACGACACAAGCCCTTTTTTGGTGCAATGCGTAGTTTTCGCAATATCGAATTTGTCCACCTTTCGTGAAACACACTGTGTATAAAATTGACCAACGCAAATGAAATGAAGGGAGTAAATGAAATAGGAAATTGACACTTTTAGAATTGCAAATGTAGCTTGATATAAGCATCAGAAGAACAATTCTCAAAGACCACTCAAAGATTGTTAGCAATAAGCAACCCCCCCCCCCCCCTCCCTTTTTCCTCAAACTTGTCTACTCCTAATGCGTAATGCGGCGTTTCCTCAGAAATGGCGGCGGCCGGATTCCAAAGGCGAAAGTATGGGGACCAGAAAGATGCCTAAAAGATGAGGTAGAGATAACAGTAAATCATTTTTTTCGAATTTCGCTTTAAAGGCCTCATCTCGCTCAAGGTTGATACGTCACGTCGCGTAAAAACCTGAAAGTAGGCCGCCATGTCCCGAAAAGCAAGCCATGAAAGTTCGTGCTATTTAGCTACATACTATACCAAGGGGGTGTTGAACCTGGTCACGAACGTTCTCTTCTATGTTTTCCATAAACAAAGAAGGTGGAAGGACTTCACGAATTTCATGGAGGTCAATTTGGAGCGCATATAGGGATCCGACGGACCTACGAGAAAATCCAAAGTAAATATTTGAGACCTAGATTGTACCTGGTTGTTCAACTGTTTGTCAAAGGTTGTGACTTTTGTCACCGCCTGAAGATGACTACGACGTGCCCTTACAAAATCCAGCAGTCAGTTGAAGTGGATGTGCCATTTCACACAGTCGAACCCCACATAATTCGACCGTTCCAGGTATCGCAAAGCTACAAGTTCGTAATGGTAGCAATAAACTATCTCGCGAAATTCGTTGAGGCGAAGGTTGCTCGTAACATCGAAGCTTCCACGGTGCGTAGTTCAGAGAGAGGAGAATAATCCCCAAGCACAGGTGTCCCACAGTGCTGGTTGCAGATAAGGGCACACAAATGACTTTCAGATCAACATCCTGTCTCAAATACCGTGGTATACGCCTCGCAACAACTACGGCACATCACCTGGCTGCCAACGGCCTCGTTGAGCGAGCCAACAAAACATTGAAACAGATTATGCCAATCACCACCTTTTCTGGAGAGAAGTGGGTTGATGTTCTACCTTGTGTGGTATTTTGCTTCAACACCGGATACCAAAACACGGTTCTAACTTCCCCCTTTTACCTGCTATATGTTCGTGATCCTGTTTTTTTCCTTGTATCAATACAAGAGAAAGGAGCTGCAAAAACTGCAAGCAAGCTCAAAATACGGGGTGCTCGTGCGCGAGCACTTCAACGAAGTACGCAGGTTGGCTGCGCGACATATCAACTTGGTTCAGGAGAAACAGGAAAAAAAAGTGAAAGCCGTTTACAACTCCCTGTAACACCGAATTAGAGCGCAGCTCTTGAGGAGGAGGAGGGAAGGGTACGGGGGGGTGAAGTAACCTGGGGGGGGGGGTCACGTGGCCTTGGGCGGTCACGTGACGATGCCGATGATGTCATCAGTGACGTCACTGATGACGTCATCCGTGATGATGACGATGACGATGCGGATGTCGGTGACGTCATCAGTGACGTCACTGATGACGTAATCCGTGATGATGACGATGACGATGCGGATGCCGGTGACGTCATCAGTGACGTAACTGATGACGTCATCAGTGATGATGACGATGACGATGCGGATGCCGGTGACGTCATCAGTGACGATGACGTCATCGGGGAGGTCACGTGACCTCGGCGGGGGGGGTCAGGTGACTTCGGGGGTCACGTGACTTTGGGTGTCACGTGACCTTGGGTGTCACGTGACCCTGGGGGAGGGGTCACGTGACCTTGGGGGCCACGTGACCTTGGAATGACCTTGGGGGTCGCGTGACCTTGAGGTGACCTTGGTTACGCCGACGCCGCTCAAGCCGGGTACGGGCCCCTAAGAGCTGCGCTCTAAAAAAACAATTTCACAAACGTCGAACTGACATGACGTTAAAACGAGACCAGTCGTTGTTGTTGAAGCCCCTGCAAGCGGGTCTCAAGAAACGGCCGGTATACACCGGACTTCATCGTGCTGACGCCAAACTCTAACCGGTGAACACTGATATAGAGTTCAGTGACGGTTTAGGACGGAACGTCATGCGTGTCGATAAATTGAAAACGCGTCTGGGATTTGTCGAGGAATTGTTTCTTTCCTTGAACTGCTGAGTAGAAAAAGATGCATCTGAGTCTTATAGTTAGCGCGCGGTAGTATTTGTAATTTATGTGTGCCATGGGTGACTCGCTGGGATATATCGTGCTTTGTGTGCACATAACTGTATCATAATGCTGTTTTCTTCGCGTGGTGTATACATCGGGTCGATGTCTTTTTTAGCAGTGGCATGTAAAGGAGGCGTGCGATCGGGTAAAAGAGAAGATATGGCATGAAAATTTGAACCAGCATTCCCATGCCTCAACAAAGTCGGAATAACATATTTTGATGACCCATTAATGATCGTCACACTGAGTTTTGGCGTTTTGGTTAAAACTCATTCGACGCTTAAAAACCCTACTTTCACAAATCGTTTCCCCATCACGAAAGATAAATTAACATCGCCCTACATCAGGACAAACAGACCGTCCTGCAACCTGCCGTCCCAAATATAACTTCGAGTGAAGGCGACCACAGTACGCTTCAGGTCACATATGCCACCAAGAGAACGCCCACCTGGCGTAAGCGTTGCCGATCCCGCCTTGGATGCTGTCGTCAGCCGCGTAGAAAGCGAAGCTATTGCCGTAAAGCAGAGCGAGGTCGTATTGCAGCAGCCCTGAATAGTTGAGCGCCCTCGAAATGTGGGTCTGGTTGATCCACACGAACAGAGAGAGGACCTATAAAAAAAATGTATGTTCCGACCAGATAAAAACACGCTCATTTACCCGAAAACTAAATTCAGAAACCGTTTACTCACTTAAATTGCAACCAAACTGTTATACTTAATAGCTAATCCGTTAAATAAACGAGATAACTTACCCAGTAATAAAATATTAGGCCGGTCCCTACAACCTACTCCCTTTAAAAATAACTTTCTTGCCGATGACAGAAGATGCGAATATTTTCTGAACCAAGCCGGTACACTTTCTCACAAACATCATTTTGTCATGCATAAAAGTTGCTAACAAAGTGCAAGCAGCTCGCCTGTCTTGAAGTAACGTTTCTTGAATGTCTTAAGGCCCGTTCACACTCTTGCGACCGAGTTAGACCGAAAGAGACCAAACCGGTTTTTAAGCCTCTTGCGACTTCTTAGGACCAGCTCCGCTGCATCGCATCCGGTCCTAAGAAGTCGCAAAAGGCTTAAAAACCGGTCTGGTCTCTCTCGATCGAAGTCGGTCGCAAGAGTGCGAACGGGCCTTTAGTCGCATTCGATTGTTAGTGTTGATAGACCCATCTTTCCAAGCGTTTGGCGCATGTGTAAAGCCGCCAAAACTTTAGTTAGCAGGACACAAGCCACCATAGCGGCAGCGCCCGAGACACTGTGTTTCGCCTCGGGCTCCGCATGAGCAGACTTTCAGCTAGGTTGTCGCACTTACAAAAAGGCTCCCTTAACGCCTTGCGGCATCGGCAGTGTAGCCAAACTGGACTGGGAGATTTCTCTATTTGTGGGAAAATTGTTGACAGGCTAGTCTTTATTTTGACACATACATTAAATGTTCACACTTTAAAAAGGTAATTGCCGGTTCACCCTTCGGTATTTCGAGAGGAACCGGCTATGACAAGCATCCACCCTTACAAAAACAGGTCTCAACATTCTTTTTAATTTCTTCAGACTTCTTATTGACTTTTCGGGATCCTATTGACTTTCTTTATAAACGCACTTTCTTTTGATTATTGTCAAAAAACTTTCAAAAGAAAAAATAACGACTTTTTTTTGTAGACTTATTTATACACAAATTAAAAAGAAATCCTAATGACGTTTTTCTATAGGTTATTTTCTAAAAAAATTCAAAAGGAAAATATAATGAAATTTTTTTGTAGACTTATTTATACAAAAATTAAAAAGAAATTGTAATGACGTTTTTCTATAGGTTATTTTCTAAAAAAATTCAAAAGGAAAATATAATGAAATTTTTTTGCAGACTTATTTATAAAAAAAATTAAAAGAAGTTGTAATGACGTTTTTCTATAGGTTATTTTCTAAAAAAATTCAAAAGGAAAATATAATGAAATTTTTTTGTAGACTTATTTATAAAAAAATTAAAAGAAGTTGTAATGACGTTTTCCTGTAGGTTATTTTTCAAAAAAAATTCAAAAGGAAAAAATAATGTCATTTTTTGTAGAACAATTTAAAAAAAATTAAAAAGTTGTAATTGCTTTTTGAAAGTTATTTTCAAAAAAAGTTTAAAAAAATTATCAACATTATTTTTTTATTTTATAAGAGAAAAAAAAATTTAATCTTTTACTATTCTATTAAAAAATATTGAGGACATTTTTTTATTTGGGAGAAATTTTTGAAGAATAACAGGTCACATTTTTTGAAAATATTGAAAGGGAAAATACATTTTCTATAGGTTTTTCTCTGTTGGCATATTTGTAAGAGTTCTAAAAATGATAGTAAGTTGTTTTGCACTTTTTCGTTTAATCTAGGATTTTTTTTTTTAGAATCAGACAAAAGCAAATGACCTTTTTCATTCCCTTTCCTGTTTCTATTTAATAAAACATTCCGCAAGCACAACCCTCTTAACATATGTTGAAAAATGGCTTCAACTTGACATCTGTACATAGTAAAATTCTTATTTTTATGGCAGTGCATTTTTGTTACGTCAGACATAACAAAAATAATATTAAAGTTACGTCCGACATAACATAAAAGTTTGCTGTGCCTAGCGTTAAGTCGGGACGGATACTTGCAAATGCATCTCACAGCTATGTTTCATCCTGTGCGGCTTGAATATATGCATGTGCCAGAATTATATAGATTGATGACATACTAGAGTAGTTTCGTGAGAATTCAGAAAGCATCACACACTCTGCATGCTATTCGGAGTTTGAAATGGAACACTGGTGACACAATCTGAAGAGGTGTACACGTTTTGTTCCTAGATTTGTTCTCAGTGTGTATGTGGGAATATATGTATATAAAAGTGCCAATGATTTATACTTACTGTAATTAGCAGAAGTGAAATTTCGCAGCGGCTTTAATTAACCTTCCTACAAACTCTATTCTGTGTGTGCACAGTTATACAAAACTATGAAATATAAAACCTAACTTCTCGGTTTTATCAACAGGTACTATTAAAAAAATGTACCATGATACAATGCAACAAAAGTCAAGAAGAACAAATAGTGATCCTTTATTCACAGGGCAAAGCTTGCTCAGGATAATGCCGCATTACTCTATGGTGAAACACAAAATACAACATGGTATGAAAATTGCTTTACTAGTTGCATGCACATGGAGAAACGACAGAACAATATTGCAATGGACACTCCATCTTTTAAGTAACAATATCAATCACGCTTGGCAGCCACAAGAAACTTGTCAACCTTTATGTGAAGATGAATTAGTGTTTCTATGCAGGAGCTGTCTCTTGATAGTCACCATGCAATCCAATAATAATAAAACATTCGTCTATATACACCAAATCATTGTTTATAAACACGTATGCATTTGCCCAGAGGAGCTGTGGGCACTGCACTTGTGCAAGAACTTGTTTTTTAAAGAGTGAAAGATCCTGTACATGCTCCAACAGTCCGTGCACCTGCCTTGACATGATGCCAGATACAAGTTAGTCTATAAAACAGCAGAACTGTCACATGTCAATTTGCACTGTAAGCTTCCTAATGCCATCTAACAATCTCTCAAAAGAAGGAAAATGGTGTAAATATCTAAGCCACAACATGCATTGTGACTTGTGGCAAGACAGAAAATGAATGCTCTTTGGAATCATTTATAAACATGATACACAAATATACTCTCAATCCAACACTCCTGTGCATTCATACTATCCAATAAAAGTCACGTTGGCTCTCTTCGTAGCAAATACTATAAACCAATGGTTGTAAACCGACATATGAACATCTCCAGTTTACCGAGATGGTTGGTGGCCTACTCACACTTCCACACGACTTAAGACGAGATTAGCCTACCCAAAACCCAGATTGGAAATAGGTGCATACTCTCATCACTGCCTCAAGAAAATATCATTTCACACAAAGTGCATAAGCTGCACAAAGTAGTTTTTGCAAGGTATGGGTGTCAGAGAAAAAAAAGTTTTTTTTTTCATTTAAAATGTGTTCCATTTTGATACAATCTAAATCCTAACTCATTGTAAATGCATATAACCATACGGTCACTATGTAAAAGAAAAAAAATAGGTAATGGCAAGGAGCCACTTTTTTTATATGGTTCTTGAGGTGACTACGAATCCAGAAAGACCGACATTGCATGTGGCACCATCGTGAGAAGGGAAAGAACCAGAACAAAAAGAAACAAAAGAACACTAATGGCTATATTCATGCGCAACAACAAAACAATGACTCTGTGGGAAGTTCGACTGAGTGGTCAAAAAAAAAGAGGGCACAAAGCTAGTAAGTGTTTCCAGGGCCATGGATAATCAATACCATAGCTGCCTAGGTAGAGCCCGGGTCAGTTGGTCATAGAAGATCAGGGATGGCCATACTCACACTGCCCAAGAGCGGCAAGCAAAATTGTTAATTTGTAAAGGGGAGGAGGTAATTTTGTCACAAAGGGCAGGCGAAGATTCGGCAAAGATCACTAAAGAACTGATAGCTCAATAGTTTAATGTGGAGAACTTGTGCCAGAAACAAATAAAAAACGGAGCGTCGGGAAAGCAGAAAAAAAGCAAGCATCAAGGTGCCGACGGGACGGCAGGCTCGAGTGAGACTGACTCGGCAAGGCTGACCGTTTCCCTACTGCGACGAGCAACATGCTTGAACATGTTTTTTTAACTATGCTTTCACTCACGAGCATGCACACAGAGCCGAATTGCTCAAAGTGTTGCACTCGCATCCTGCAGCTGCTGACATAAAAGGCCTAGAGTCGCAACCGCGATTCACTTGCCATATTTATCATTAATAGCCCAAAACAGTGTCGCCGTACAATGCTTCGCTGAGAGGTATACACTGCATCCTAACTTGCTTTGCTTTGCTCGCCTATGTGGTGAAAAGAAGTTACACTGCAGCATTTACTAGCCAAAGCAACAAACGAAAGCCTGGAATTAGAGAGGATTTAACCGGTAAAACTACGCTGCACGAACCATGGCACCCATGGACCATGAACCAGGTGGTTCATGGGCGCCATAATGCGGCTGCTGTGGGCCAGCTACGTCAGAATTGTGACAATGTTGCCTGGTCTCCAAATGCAAATGAGTAACATTAAAAAATTAATTTCTTGAAATAGTAAAGCTCTAAAAATTCTGAAAGTTGGTATGTATATTGAGCAACCTATCAGGGTTTCATATCAAGAGTCACCCGACTTAACTAATTTTCATGTAATGGCCCCTTTAAAGGGATACTTCAACGAAATTTGAAATATTCTCGTCGTGTTTAAAAATAGGTTGAATATGATCCACAATATCCGTAAATGACAATCGCACGTTTGTATTTTGAGCCTGGTGGCTGTATTTTTGATATAAACGGCCCACTCTGGCAAGCGCTCGGAGAAGGCCCAGCGGAGACCACGTGACATCCAACGCAATCGTGACGTAGGTCGTCCCAAGACGAGCAAAGCTACGGCTAGGCTGACGTCGAGAGGATGGCCTAGTCGTTCCAGCCACCGAAGCGGCTGCTTTTGTGTGAATTTTGAGTGACGGGTTAATCTTCTGTAATCTTGTAGGGGGACAATAGCGACTTCTGCGACATACAAAAAGCA